AATTAAAAATTGAAAAAAAGTATAGATACCTCCAATATGGTTTTCCCTATTTTTAATTCAATTAATATAGTGGTTGAAGGCAGATGGGTTGTAACATGTAATCCCGAGGCACATATCTTACGGCTCAAGAGGTGACAGAGCATCATTATTGTTACATACCTAACTTTCTCCTCATGCAGTGGATCCAATGCCACGCAGAATTAGGATGACACATGCGAAAACGATGTGGGTGACGTCACTCAAATTCATCAACCACTAATACCCCAGTGTTATTTGTAAACTTTAAATTTAAAAAGGTATACAATTTATTTTATGAGTTTTGATTTGAGATTTGTATACATATTTAATATATTTTTTATAATTTTATTTTTATTATTTATTCTCTCTTTTTTATCATACCCTTTTGTTACTTTTTCTCATATATTCTTTTTTTATTTTTCCTTTATTTATTATAAGAACATATTTAAAAATAAAATTATATTTCTAACATATTTATTACTTTTAACTAATTTTAACTTATTTTTAAATTTTTTATTTGAATAATAAGCACTAGAGGGAGTATAAAATATGGATAGAATAAACCACCAATGTTCTGAAATAATTTATAAGCAGTATTTCAATCAATTTACAGAATACAAGATAAATAAGTAAGATAAATTTTATCTCAACTTAAGTGTTCATAAGTGTCTATAAACACGACTCCAAACAAGTGCCAACTCTAACACAGTTGATGAATATGCAAGGCAAAATGGATAAAAACATGATATTTAGGACTAAGTCTAACATTGTATTTATTCTTATATTAAGAATCGGATGGAGTATAAAACATTAATGCCATCATATTAATGTGAAAATGGATAATGTGCTTAAATACTCTGGAAGCATTTATGAAGGAGTATTTAGTACATGAATTTTTGTTTTTGGACTTTTATATGCCTTGAAAGTTCATTTTCATAACAAAAATATCCTAACCGTTATTCGCTATTATGTTTGTCTATTTAATTATACAGTTTGACCGGTGTCTTTAATAGTCAAACTTAATAGTGGATAAGGGTTCAAGATAGAAACGCTACAAAATAAAACTTCTAGAGCATATAAGGATAAAAAAAAAATTCAAATACTGGGTGTTACATTTTAAACACTTTTGGGATATTTAATCACCATATCCCATATGAAAAATACAAACACTAATTAGCCAGGCTCTTTTTCATTATTTGGAATAAGTTAGGCTCCCACCTTTTATTGAAATTAGGGGGGAAAAAAATCTAAACGCATGCTATTTTTATTTGCATACAAGTTTAAAATCTTGAGTTGAATTAGCTAAAATTCCAAATGCTATTTCTTTATTTCAATAAAAGAATTTATACCCTTGATATCTAATCACATTTTATTTTATTGTTATTGCTTCGTCAAGCTCCAAATGACAAACTGAAATTTTGATATCTATTTTTATTTCTTTTGCGCCTGTCCTTGAATTTTGATTCGCAAGAATGCTAATATTTATTAATTTATGGAACATTATTTTTAAACCAGAAATTTCATTTTTCTTTTCTTATTACAAAAATTTCATTTCGTTATTTAAATATGAATATAAAAAAAATTTAACTTCATTATACATGGTTTCCCTTTTTTGTTTAAAACGTGTCAAACATAATTTGCTTAATGAAATTAAACATTGCATTTCATTTCAAGCATGTTCTCTTTTTTCTGTTCTTTTCCTCCACCAAATCCCTGGCAAATTAAACTCTCTTTAATAATACTGATGTGAAGTGTCTGGGTCTCCCCACTCGGAATTAATTTAGTATTCATTGTCTCTACCACAGATGGATCTATATAATAACCCGGAACCATATGGTGTTGTCGTCAGAACACATTAAAGATTCTCTCTCTCTCTACAGAGCTAAGGAACTTGCTCCCTGCAACTCAGATTTCAGACTGCTCATCTAACCCAACAGGCCATTTTCTGAGAAGAGACTACTTCCAGGTTCACAATCTCTCTCTCTCTCTTCGTTTTTGAAGAAATGGAAGCTAGTTTTACTGGGTTTGGTGTTGAATAGACATAAGCTCTGTATTTTCTTGCCTTCTTCTTATGCTGCTGCTGCTGCTTCTTCTTCTTGTTAATGATCCATATTTCTATCTCTTTAAATATTACTGCTGGCACTGTAAAGTGGAAATCCCTATTCTCAGTACCTCTGTTAGTTCAGCTGCTTAAGTGATACTATCTGTTTTTCCCCCCAGAAGCTTTACATAATATTATCTTATTATGTAAAGTTAGTGACATGGGTCATACGTACGGTTTCATTATCTTATATTAGGCCGTTTATTAATTTTGTTGGATATTACCTATCTTGATGTTTTTCCGAAGCATTTTATATTTTCCTAATACTATTCATAACTTAATTTCTTTGTATATATCTGAACTACATCAAAGTGACTTAATAAACACCATGCACACGTCAGTGTAACTTTTCTTACCTTGCTATATGTTCGTTGCACATTTTTTTCAACCACTAACTTATTTTAAAAGGGAATAAATAATCTTTTATCAAATAAAAAAGCACACAAATAAAATGAGAGCATTAAAAGCAGTCAGGGGGGAGAGAGGGCAGACTTCGAAGAAACATCTAGGAAGTTGCATATATACTTGTACATTTTTGTTTTCAGGTTTTTTTGTGGGACTGATTTTCAAGTTGATTAGAGGTGCACAAGATGCAGATAAAGTAGATCCGTATGAGATCTGAGATGACACAAACACGACAAAATTGTAATAGTAATAAGATACTTGGAGCAAATAATGATCACTTGTAATATCTAGATAGAGTTGAAACATAAAAGGGCATTGTGGTAAATTTATTTCGGCAACATCTTTGATATAATTGTCCAAAGACACACATTTTGAGGAAGTCTAGACAACCATAGGTAGCCCTATAAATCACACGATAATGAATGGACAAGTTTTTCCCCCACAAGTAGGACCAGCCATGTGTAAAGCAGATTGATAATAAAATGAGTCTCCTGTTTCTTTCCTTTTTTTTTTTTTTAATCACCATACGGTTTTGTGGGGAAAAAAATATCATTACCAGAAAGTTTTATAACAAGTGAATAATAAATTTCAGTTCACTTGTTACTATAACTAGTAAAACAGGGTAGCTGAACGGATATAGGTCAACTTGTAATGATGGGGCTGAAAGCAGTGCAAAAACAGTACGACCTTGGCGGGTAAATTTTTTTGAAGAAAAAGTTGCTATTATTATTAGTATGGGTTAGGTTTGATTTGAAATGTTGAAATTAAATTTGGGGTTTTAAACTTAAGTAGTAGTGGGTTGTAATAAAATAGTTTAAAGATTAATTCATAATTTAAAAAGATATTTTAGAAAAACTAACAAATATGTTTTATAAATAATTAATTTAACTATTTTTTTAATCCAAATCAATTAAATAGATCTTTTTGTGTGTGTGTATATAAGTATCATATGTTTATTTAATCTTATAACTGTGTGTATAGTAACAACAAATAGATGAAAAATAAAAGATAGATGATGCTCTTTATATAACTACACATATATAAAGTGCTTAATTACATAATATGAATGAGGCAATGTTATGTGGAATTTGAGGTCCAACAATATTATATAGTATATTGAGAATTTTATGGAAAAAAAAAAGGCGGGTTAGAGTAGCCAAACCACTAAGACAAAATACCAACCTGAACCTGGGCCTAGGAACCTAACCTGTATTACTGGCTCTTTTTGTTATCAATTTTTTTTTTTTTCTTACTTCACAATGATTTTTCTTTAATAATAAGTGCGTCTCCTATTCGGACCATGAATGTAATGATTGACAGTAAGCCGTAAAATGTCGGTAGGACTATTATAAGTGCTCGAGTCCGATCTTATTTGATTAATTTGGATTATTTTTTTTAAAAGAAGTATAAATGATAACAATTAAACTTAATTATATTTTTTTAAGGGAACTGAAAGTTTATAAATAAAAAGAATTATACGGAAAAAAACCCCTCAACATCCATCACCTCCTCAGTATAAAGGTAGCTTTAATTATACTATAAGCCTTTTTAAAACACTAGTCACTAATCATATTTCATGTTATACTTATCATCCCATAAGTTAATTTTAAATAACTCGAGATAATTCTAAGAAGTCGGAGAATTTCTCTTTCAGTAATAATATTAAATTTTTAGCTCTGAACAAGATTATCAAGATGAGACAAATTGATTAGTAAATTAAGGTTTAATGTCATTAGCATAACAGTCAACATGCTACTGACTCAGAACGCACGATCCAAGAGAGCTATGTCATATCTATCCATATCATATGTTTACTAATTCTTTTACAATATATTTTTTCCGCTATAATGAAGCTTGCTTGGAATCACTTTTTGGGTGTCAAAATGTGGTTTTGGCCAAAGAAAAAGGTTTTTTTTTTTTTCGAGCCATCGTTTTTTTTGTTGTTGTTATTTTGGACTTAAAACTAATTACAACTAATTACAGCTAGGATAGTGAAGAGGGGACCCTAAACCATTCCCTTTTTAGCCAAATACTTCTTAGCTTGAAATTTCAATATAAGAACTAGTATTAGAGAACTAGTAGAAGGATTTATCTTAATTTTAAATACAAGATTTAAGTTCATTTTGTCTTCTAGATTAATAATTTTTCTCTCATATTGATTGCGCTTTTACATATTCATTGCATGTATGAAGAGAGCTAATACAAATTATTTAAAGAGTGCTTTGGAAAAATCAACAAATAATTATCTTAACCATTTTTCTTGATAGTTACAAATTAATTATTTAGTCCTTACTTGAGGGTGTATCATATGTATGTCTCAATGAAAATAAAAATTAAATTAAAAGAAAACGGTAAAGCATCCCATGGCTCTGTGCAAATCAAGGGCTTGTCTAAATTACATTTCACTTTGGCATACAAAAATTGCTTTAATTTATATGACTACTTTTGTCGCTGCTCATCGTCATTTCACTTGCAGGTTGGGATTCAATGGAGTCTAATGATCACAACAACGTCTCTGTTTCATCATCTCCTAAATACGAGATAGGGAAACACGTGATCGATATAAAAGACGAACCGGAAGATCTGGAAACAACGAAGTGGAACATCTACAGAGTCCCATCCAGTCTTCGGGGGAGTTGGAAACCAGAGGCCTACACTCCTCAGTTGGTCTCAATAGGACCCCTTCACTATGACCAAAAAGAAGAGTTCAAACCAATGCAAAAGCAGAAACGACGATACCTTGATTTCTTCTGGCGTCGTGCAAAGAACAATAATATTGAAGCCATGGACAATTTCAAGAGGTTCCTTGAAGATCAAGTAAAAGACATACGACAATGTTATGCGGAAAAGCTCTGTGATAAGATCGACGACGAAAAGTTGGTGGATATGATGTTATTAGATTCTGTATTCATCATGGAGCTGTTTCTGAGGATTCGAAAGCAAAAATCAGGAGAGGACAGGAAAGATGACAAACTGATCGATCAAACATATCCAAATGATATTATACTGAAACAATCATGGCTGAGCAAGAGTATCCAGAGAGACTTGCTTCTGCTTGAAAACCAGATCCCAATGTTCATCTTAAAAAAGCTGTACGAGACTGTTTTCCCTGACATTGACCCTTGTGTGGAGCGTCCCTCATTTATTGAACTTGCTCGTGACTACTTCGACTGTTTTCATGCCTGTAAAAAGGGCGACTGTTCTAAACAAGAAGCTGGAAGCTCGAATTCCAGCCAGTGTCTTTTCTGGGATAATAAACCACAACATTTCACTGATCTGATTAGGTACGCAGTTTTCAATATTACTACTGTTTATCAGCATGCTATTGCTGTTTTAAAGGACTAATTAATGACTGATCGGCTATAATATACTGTTTGTCACTTGTGGTGCTGCGTTCCTACAAGTTTTGCTGATATTGTCGTAATTAAATCGTAACACTTGATTAGCCATTTGAAGCATTGTTATTGATGAAAACTTAATGGCAGAATCCCAATAACAAGTTTAATATACATACGATATTATGGTGCTTACAGGCTAACACATTTTGTGTTGATTTGACTTGACTAGGTCTTTCTACATTTGTAAGGGCCTTATTGCTGACAAAAAAGGGTCTCCCTTAAAGACTGCAACAAAGTTGCGGGAAGCAGGAGTGAGCTTTGAGAAAGTCAGCAATAGGCCCTTACTTGACATAAACTTTCGGAAACTTCGACCCTTAAGCTGGTTTCTGTGCTTAGGTTGTATTCCAAATTTCACTCAGTTCAAAGCTCGCTTACAAATCCCAGAGTTAAAAATAGAAGACTCAACCGAATGTGTTCTAAAGAATCTCATCGCCTTCGAGCAGTGTCATTATCCAAATCAACCGTACATATGCAACTATGTCTCTTTCATTGATTCTCTGATTCACACCAAAGATGATGTCGAATTGCTGGTTGAGAAGGAAGTGATTGTCCATGAACTTGGAAGCGACAAGGAAGTTGCAGCATTGGTGAATAGTCTCTGCAAACATGTTGTCACTGACAAGACATGTTATACAGGACTTATAGATGGTCTGAACAAACATTACCAGAGACAATGGAATCGCACCATGGCTGCATTGAGGTTAGTTTACTTTAGAGATGCTTGGAGAGCAAGCTCTACTTTGGTCGCAACGGCTGTCCTCGTATTCACAATCTTCAACTTCTGTCGAGTTGTTAAATTGGTCCTCGACCTTGAAGGAGGCCGCCGCCAACCTTAATTAGTTATAATGTATATTGCCTTCAATCTTAATTATAAGACCTCGTTTGTAGACTATAAATGAGATCTTATAATTAGGACCGAAGGTAGTAACATATAGTATCTTTAATTTGGATTATAATTAGGAAACTAATTAATGGATGTGTCATGTGATAAAATAACGTGAAAGGATCTTCCTCTTGGGTGAAGCTTGGTCGCAGACTGCAGAGTCATCTTGCGGGTGTTTTGTTCAGTGTTTGGCGTGTATTATTTGTGGGTGTGTTCTAAGACTTTAAGCCATCATCTATGTATGTAATTTATAAATAAAGCATTCATGGTGCTACTTTATTTCTAGGAAATTGTTAATTAACTAATCCTTCGCTTGTACATAGATTAAAATAAGGAGGGGATAGGGAGGCTTTCAAAAATAAATAAATTGATATTTTTGAAAGTTATTTTCTTCCTTAGTTTCTTGCTTAATTAAGCTTAACCCTTGATTTGGGATGGGAAGAAAAGAGAATACTATGAAGGAAAACTTTCTAAGAACAGCAAAAAATTTTACTAATTTTGGAAGTGTTTCCTCCTAATATCTCCCCCCTACACTAGTACAAAAAGGCATTTCTGCATTGGGGCTTTTGTATTGATTGTTGCAAGGACGGCGTATAACTGTACAAGGTGTGACGAATGGCATTTTCATAAATAAGATGTGATACTAATGACTCCCCCCCCCCCACACAATTCCGTTAGCAACCCGTGTAGAGAATTTTTTAAATTATTTAATTTCTTAAAAATATATCTCAATGTAATTGTTATGTTGTATATTGATCATTCTGTTTGTTTCAAGTGTAGAAACAAGGATTTGGGAAAGCATAACAGAAGGAATTATTAAAAGAAAAAACACAAACTTAAGTTTATTTTCTACATTAGTTCTAGTTGTGACATTAAGGGGGCTTTTCTTTTCTTAGAGAGAAGTATGTTTGTTTTATTGAATAAAATCAAAGATGGTCAACATAAAGTGTGAAATAAAACCAAAACACCAAACAGGCTAAAGCACAAACTACATATAGTTTTGGTATATGTCAGTAGTTTTGGTGGCATTGCTATCGTCTTGTGAAGTGATAAAACTATGCATTTTAAACATGTTATAACTCTATATACTCACTACTTTTCATTTATGTCTTTGCACCTTCAAAAATATTGGCCATTTATTGAATTACATATTTGTCGTCGATCTAAGACGCCTATAGATTGATTTAATTTGATGAAGGATTGGTTGAGCGGTGAAGAGAATGAATGAGCAATATATCAAAAGTCCATTAAAATCCAGAATGAGTGTTTTAATAAGGCTAAGATAAAAGGCCACAATCCGGAAAAGGAATCGCGTTCTTTTAACACCTTGTTGGATTAATTTATGTTTTGCTTGGATTTGGGATATTTAAGACTTGGATTTGGACTTGGGCCAAATCATATATTTTCAATCGATAGAAATTCATGGACCCAAGTAGACTTCCGCGTCATAATTTTTCAAAATTTCAAATTCTCACTCTAACGGTCTAACCTAGAACCTTTTGCATCATTATCTTATGTTTTGTACAAAACCACCAACCTTTGAAACATTGGAATTTGAACTTTACAGACGAAATTTTAAAGGGTAAAGTTGCATCCATCATTATGATTTTAATTTTTTGGTACATACATGACCCTGATCTTATTCTTAATACATCTAGCACTCTAATTTTTAGAGTGGTGGATGCTACTAAAAGAATAACATCGAGGTGCTGGATGCTCAGTAAAAATAAAATTAGGATGCTAGATGTATTATGTAAAAAATAAGGGTGTTAGATACACTTGAAAAATAAGATTAGCATGATAGATACACATTTACCCTATTTTAAATACAAAATCCAAATTCAGCTACCCAAAGGCATTCTTAATTGATTTGGCATTGATTAGTATGAAATAATTATTAGCTAAATTACAAACTTAATTAATCAAATAATCACTTTGCTTAGTACGAGAAGTTAAACCCTAGTTAATTCTAGAGGTAATTCGTTGAACATGCAAATTCATACAGTAGAAACTCTAATTTGAAAAGGCATGAATGAAAAACTACATTAAAAAAAAAGACAAAAGACAAATTTGTGTACTAACAAAAAAATAATCTTGAGAAAAGGAGAAGTAAAACATCTCTAGAAGACTAGAACCATTGGTCAAAAAAAAAAAAAACCTCTACAACCCAAAATTTTTGCAAACTATCAATTCTTTTTTAAATGTGAGCCATCTTTTCACATTGGTCTGTCATGATACGAGGAACTAATCATTTTCACTTAACCCAATCTAACTGTCAATTCATGTAAGTATTAAATTCTAACAATTTATAACTCAACTGCCCATTGAAATCTATGGGTTCCAGCCCAATTTTGAAAACATAGATCTTCATACAAATCACCAATTCATTAAAATTTCCAATTTCTCTAATTCGGATCCAACACCAGATTTACCTATATGTAAAATTCAACATGGAACATTAAACTGAACCGATTAAATCTCAATACTACTTTAAATTAAAATAAGTAAATCATAAAACTATAGTTTAATCAATGGGAAAGTCGTTATTCATGAAAACCTAATAGAACCCGAACTTAAATTCTCATCAGAATCAACAACAAAAGCACAAGAAGTTGTTGAGCCACACTTAATAAACTCTCTCAATCAACACTAATCCAATCCAGAAGGTAATTATATTAAAGAAAGAATCATTCTGGGTCCCTTAATCATCATTCACCATCCCAAACCTCTCCAATAAAATCGCAAGAACTGGAATAAAGTAATAAGCACCATGAATTTCTTTTGGCGGAAGTTCTGAACCTATCATTTTAGATACATTTCACCATTCGTTTCTTAAGAGTAAATAATTAACCTGCTGAATCAACTATACTATATGTCAGATGACAACTATATATATAATCAAAACCAATGTGGAGCTGTGGGATGCAGATATATTGATTTAACAACCCGATAAAAGTTGAAAACTGCAAATATGAGAACAGCAATTCCGACCACAATTGAACTTGCTCTCCAAGGATCTCGAAAGTACACCAACCTTAAGGAAGCCATTGTATGATTCCAAACCTTCTGGTAATGTCCATTCAGACCATCTATGATGCTTTTATAACATGTCTTGTCGATCACAACATGTTTGCAGAGACTGTTCACCAAAGTCGCTACTTCCTTATCACTCCCAAGTTCATGAACAGTGACTTCTTTCTCAACCAGCAATTCAACATCTTCTTTGGTGTGAATGAGAGAATCAATGAAAAAGACATAGTTGCAGATATAAGGTTGATCTAAGTAATGACACCACTCGAAGGCAATGAGATTTCTTAGAACACATTCCGTCGTGTCTTCTATTTTCAATTGTGGGATTTGTAAACGGGCTTCGAAGCATGTGAATTTTGATATACATCCCAAGCATAGAAACCAGCTTAAGACAGGATCATTCAAACAGTTAATATCAAGCAAGTATTTCTGGAACACTTTCTCGAAGCTCACTCCTGCTTCCTGCAACTCCGTGACAGTCGTAAGACCATTACAAGACGATATCCTTTTTCACGCAACGTCAGATCCTTTTAGAGGTAGAAGTACCTGGTGAAATCAAATCCTCACAAGAATATGTGTTAGTTCTTTGTGTTTAATTATAATATGCAATTAATTGTTAATATACATCTGTGCATAAATTATACTCCCTCCAATCGCAAATATAATATAGCTAGTTAGGAGGTTTGCTTTAGTACTACTTTAGGATCTCAATTCATATGACCTCTCAAATTTATAATTTTTTCAGAAACTATATCTATTTATTATATATATTAAAAAGGTTTTTATCAATGGGTAATTCTAATACAAATGATTGAATATAGTATTTTGAGGAAATCAACACAAAATTTTTAATCAAAATTAACTAATTTAACTAATTTCTTTAATTTCTATGACAATCAAGTTAAATTATAAAAACATACCACTCTAATAGTAAATGTAACTTGAGAAGTTTTAAGGAGTATTTGGGTAGAAACCAAATCATAATCTTAAAAGTTATTTTACGATATATAAAGTAGATATGTTAGAGGAGTTTTATCCCAATTTACATGAAAGTGCTTTTAAAAAGTATTTTATCATTGAAAAAAACCCCTTAGTACTAAATATAAGCTACTTGTAATATATTTAATGTTTATTTTTAAATTTTATCTTTATTTAATTATCATTGAAAAAAGAGAAAAAAGAAAGAAATATGAGCATCATTTGTACATATAGAGAGGAAACACTTACCACCTCATGCTTACTGTTTGCCACCATTTTTCCATTTCCAACGCGTCACTCTCTTATCCTGGTCAAATTCTTCATCCAAACCCTCAACACTCACAAACCCATCCCCATTCAAGCATGCAGCAACAAAACGAGTCAAGAAATCAAGTGATACTAGCGTTTTAACGGAAAAATTGCTTACCTTTTCCCTCTTTCCAGATTTCGACCCTTGCTCCAGCTTCGTCTTCTCAACTCTCTCTCTCTTCTGGTATATTATTGTTTTCTTACAGTTCATATCTTCAGAGAGGTTCAGGGGTATTTTAGTCTTTCTACCGAATTGACAAAATTCCAGATTGATACTTCATGCCCATTTAGTCATTTCAATTATTTGCATGCCCATTTTGTCATTTCAAAATTCAACAGTACTTTTTTTATCATTTTCCCTTCTTTTTATTGGGCGAATGAAATCATTTAGAATCTTAATCAACAACTTATTCGTCCTGTACCTATTACTTCTTAATATAGTATCTAATAACTAGTTTATAAAAATTAATAAAATTCAATAATTTAATTATTTATAAAAATTGAAAATTGATTTTTTTGAAAATATGAAAAATATATCTAAATTCAACACGCCATCTAATTAGAGAGAGTTGAGTGAAAAAATGCCTTGAAAATAATAAAAAATACGACACTAATTAGCTAGGCGCTTTTTTTTCTCAATTTGGAATTAGCTCGGCTTCTATCGTTGACTTAAATAGAAAAACAATAAACCGATACACTATTTTTTGAGTTAAGATGCGCTTAATATCTCGAACTATTTTTTCAGGTGCATCTAATGTCTTAGAATAATTTTTAGTGCATCCAGTATTCCAAACTAATTAAAACGGTATATCCATATTCCACACTAATAGAAATGTTATCTTTGATTGTTAGCCTGCTAACTCAACTTAGGATGTGTTTGGTTGGAGGGGAGGGGAGAAAAGGGAAAATGAGCTCTTCCCCTCATTTGGTTAAAAATTTTGGAGGAGAGGGGAGCTAAAATGTTCCCTCCCTTCCCCTCCCTCCTCCCATTTTAGCTTCTCTTTAAATTGGAGATTTTTAGAGGGGAGCTAAATTTTTGAACTATTATATCCTCATGATTTTTTTGATATTCCACAACCACCCATAAAATATGTTATTATAATATTTATTTTAAATACAAAATATATTATCCTAAGTAAAAAATAAAAAATATAAATTATTATAATTAAAAAATGTATTATAATAAAAATTAATATAAATTATTATAAAAATAAAAAATTATTTAAATAAAAAATTATAATATTATAAAATTAATTTTTTTATACATATATTATTTATTAAATATATTTTAAAACTGAAAAAAGGCATAGCCTAAAGAGAATAAAATTTCAATTTTTTTATAGCATATAAAATTTGTTAATTTGATTATTTCAAATATATTATTATATTAATTAGAATTAAAAAATATTGTACCAATTTTTTAATACACATATTAACATATAAGACTGAATTTTTATTAAATTATATGATTTAAATTAAGATGTAAATTAATTTATATAATATATTAATAAAAAATATAAACTAATATATAAGGATAAAATGATAAATTGACTATTACTATCCCTTCTTTCTCTTTTTTGAACCAAATAAGAAATTATTAAATATCCTTCCCTCTTTTTCTTTTTAATTAAACCAAACAAACGAGAATGGAACCTCTTTTCCTTATTCTCCTTTCAAACCGAGCAGCCTTAAAGTTCACTTCAATTATCACATATGGCGGACACAGGCATTTGTGTCAGATTCACTTTCACAATTTTCCACTCCACAATCGAAACCTGTCCCTGCTTCACCTTCTTCGAACTCTTCCAATTCTGTGACAACATTATAGCCTCCTGCTGCGGCGCCGGTGGCGGTTCCGCCACATTCTCCGGCGTAGATAAAGGTTCCGGCACCTCATCATTTCAACCTCTCACAATATTGGGCTTCTCGTTAAACTCCTTCCTCTCAATTTCCTCTTTATTGATGTTAACTTCTTCGTCTGCGGTGCTCAAGCTCGTTCCTGGCGTGTTCTCCATCTGCGGAAAGAAGTAATCAAAAGCAGGATGCGGCGGAGGCATAGGATGATTTGTCTCAAATTGACTCGCTGGTTTAGATTTTGATAGAGGAGGAGGAGCAGCAGGAGGCCGAGCCTCTTCTTCTTCTCCTCCTACCATTTCCTTAGCCTCACCCCTGCTACTTCCCCTACTATTTCTCTTACTTCTCCGTCTCCTTAATCTATTATTCAAAGCACCATCGTCCTCCAATTCTTTGTCCTCTTCCTCCTCCTCAATTTATTTCCTTCCTCTGCTTCTAACGTTTATTTCTCTGTCACTTCACGGCCTAAAAACCGAACACCACCGATCCAGAGCAAAGGAGAGAATGTACACATCAGAACACTTACGTGTCTGTCATGTAGGATAATTAGAGTCAACTTTAACCTGAGTCAGCAGGCTAACGATCAAAGATAATATTTCTGTTAGTCTGAGATATGGACGCTAATTAGTTTAGGATACTGGGTGCACCAAAAATTATTTTAAAACACTGGATGCATCAGAAAAAATAATCTAGGATACTGAGTGTATTTTAACCCCTATTTTTTTTTCCCAAGTGAATTGGTCCACTATTTCTATTTGTGTACAAGTTTAAAATCTTGAGTTAAATTAGCTAAAAGTACCCTTGATGTCTACTCACATCTTAATGCTGTTACTTTTCATTTAGTTTCAAATGACAATCTGAACTCTTTATTCAAATCACATTTTCATTTTCTTCTCCGACAACATTCAAACTACACTCATCAAGTAAAAGAGGTGCTAATACTTTTTAATCCATGGAATATTATTTTTAAAGCAGGAGTTTGATTTTTCTTTTCTTGTTATAACAGTTTCATTTGATTATAGAGATATACATATATCAAAACAAATTTAACTTCATTATGTTTCCCTTTTTTTACATGTCAAACATGATTCTAGTCAAATTAAAAATATCATTTCATTTCATTTCAAGCATATCATCCCCCCCAACATATTTCTCGTCCTTAAAAAAAAAAAAATCTTTTATCTATCAAATCCTGAGCAAACTAAACTTTCTCTTTAATAATATTGATATGAAATTTCTGGTTGTCCCGCTCGGAAATATTTTAGTACTATTCATCATCTCCACCAACATCTCCACCAAGATGGATCTATATAATAATGACCAGGAACCATATGGTGTCGTCTTCAGTATTCTCCAACAAATTGAAGATCCTCTCTCTCTCTCTCTCTCTCTCTCTCTCTCAACAGAGTTTTTTTTTCCCTGACTCTCTCTCAACAGGGTTAAGGAAATTACTCCCTGCAACTCAGATTTCAGACTGTTCATCCAGCACAAGACAGAGACAGGGCATTTTCTGAGAAGAGACTACAAACTGTTCCAGGTTTACAAGTCTTCTCTCTCTCTATCTCATTTCGTTTTTGAAGTAATATAAGCTTAGTTTTACTGGGTTTTGTGTTGAATAGACATAAGCTCTGTATTTTCTTGCTTTCTCCTCCTCCTCCTCTATTTAATGATCCATGTTTCAATTTCTTTAAAGATTACTGGAGCTGGAAAGTGGAAACCATAAAAATTAGCGTAAGAGTTTCTCAACATCTGTTTATTAGTTCAGCTGCTTAAATGATACTCCTCCGGTCTTAAATATAAGACCTTTTTTATAGTGTAAATTATACTACAAAAAGGGTCTTATATTTAAGACAGGAAGATTACTATATATCATCTCATAATGTATGATCCCCTCATTCTGTGTTAATTTTGGCCAAAATAAAAAAAGTTGTTAATAAGTTTTTATTTTACCAAAATAACAATAAATATTATCTCATTAGATATAATTACCTATATAAGTCAGACGGTGTTATTGTCTTAAATTTAACAATTTAATCTTTAAATATATTGTGAATTAAAAAGGTCGTCTTTCATAACTCTATTGAGCATTTTTTTTATGTTTATTAATACCTTTTCAGATGATTTCATTCTGTTCACTCTACTTTCTTCACCGATACCTTCAACAATCGCTTTTTCACATGATTTCATACCATTAAATTTACTCTTTCTTCACCTATGCTTCCAATAATTTTTCCTTCACATGTTTCAACCATCTCAAACAATTCAATAGTTCCTTTAGGATCCTTGATCAACCTCCTCCTTTTCACCAAGAGGCGGAAGGTGACGAAGGAGTTCAAGCTTCTTTGCTTTGTTTTGCATTGACTTGCTATTCTAGCTCTATATCCAGTTTTCACTAAAAAAAAAAAAGAACAATTCAATATTAAAAATCACATATCATTTTTCCTATATAGGTTGATTACAATATCACATACATTTGATTCTTATAGAGTTAGTAATTAACGTTTAATTTGGTGCTAAATATAAAAGGGAAAATTTCACTGTGGGACCGCAGAAGACAATTAATTTCAAAGAGCCCCCAAAACTTTCTGAAACTTCACTGCAGGACTAAGGGGGCAAACTGATATTAATTCCACAAAGAAAATGACGCTATTGCCCCTCATAATACTTATTGCAGGGTGACATGTAAATGGACTAATTTCAGTTGTAAATAAATGTATGTATGTTGCAAATTGACTAGTCCCACTTACAAATGGGCTCTCTCACACTTATTCACTCACGGGCACCTTTTTCAGGTGAATGAGGTGATATATAAATGGACTAATTCTAATTGTAAATAAATGTATGTATGTTGCAAATTGACTAATTCCACTTGCAAATGGGCGCTCCCACACTTGTTCACTCACGGAGACCTTTTTCAGGTAAAAGAAGTGACATGTAAATGGACTAATTTCAGTTGTAAATAAATATATGTATGTTGCAAATTGTCTAGTCTCACTTGCAAATGAGCTGTCCCACACTTGTTCACCCAGACACATTCTTCAGGTGAAGAAGGTAATATGTAAATGGACTAATTTTAATTGTAAATATATCTATGCATGTTGTAAATTATCTAACCTCACTTGCAAATGGGTTCTCCCATACTTGTTCACATGAGGGGCAATAGAGTCATTTTCTTTGTAGAATTAATATCAGTTTGCCCCCTTGGTCCTGCAGTGAAATTTCAGAAAGTTTTGGGGGCTCTTTGAAATTAATTGTCTTCTGCGGTCCTACAGTGAAATTTTCCCAATATAAAATTCTAATTTATTTGGTTAGTTTTTAATGTTTAATTTGGTGTTAAATATTAAATTCTAATTTATT